CATGGGTCTAATTACTAAGGCCCTTGGAATGCTACTGCAGCCTCAAAGTCTAATCACTACAAAAATAAAATCTCTGTACTATCGCAGCAGCTGTGGAGCTTCATAGTTACAAAATAAAAAACTAAACCAAAACCAGATCTTTATATTACTATTGCCTGACATTACATCTTGTCATACAAGTCAACTATACTTATTATTGGAGCCAAGTAAGAAAGAGTTGCTTTATTTACTAGACAAGCATTCTATTTATACATTTTGATATACAAGAGTTTCAAACCTAGATCCAGAGTTTCGAACCCAGATTTGGGGCTTCGAACCCAGATCTGGGGTTCCAAATCCGGATCCCAAGTTTCAAACCCTAATCTAGGATTTAAGCCTGTACATATATGTATTTTACTGTTTTTATATATGAAAAATAAAAAAACTATATAGCGAAATTTACAAGGTAAGAAAAATTTTTCATAACACACTACGAGAACCTGGCAGTTAGGCTTCGAGGCTGTAGTAGCAGTGCAAAAACCTTGTTTTAGGTTCTATGGCTACTGTATTAGTGTATAGATCTTCACTAAATGGATTGCAGGCTCCGTAGCTAAAATAACGTTATAGTATATTTAAAAAACCTATTCAAGTCACCATAAGTATATATCTAAGTACTCATATGCATATGTATAAACTTTACTGATGCTGATTGTACTGGTCTTGTACAATGCTAATTGAACCTAGCTGCTACACCAAAATTTTACAGAATTTCTCGATTTTGATTAGCTATAAGCGACGATCAATAATTTAGGCCAAAATTACTCAAAATTTTACTAATAAAACCACAGCTGCACATTAAGTAAAAAATATTCCTGTGCTAATTTTATTATTATACAAACTTATTTCTCTAAAAATTTCCATTTTGGAAATGAAAAAGTTAAAAATTTATTTTCGGCCAAAAATTATATAAACAATTATATAATGTGGACCAAAATTTTGTAGATCACGGCCATTAGCCAATCAAAGTTGAGGAATTCTATGAAATATTGGTGTGGCAGCTAAGTTCAATCATGATACTATATGTTGCGTAGCTACTTTATTAGTATATATCGGTATATCAATTTCTGGTAGTACAAATTAATTTAGAGATTATAAAGAGATAAAATTACTATACTCATCTAATATTTGGTTTATAAAAAATATGTGATAGCAATTATATGCATTTTGATATTATAAAGAGAAATTTTATTATTTAAAAAATCAGGGCATAAATTAGTATGATTCTATAAAGGTTGTGATTATAGAGGAGATGATTATAAAGAGGGAAGACTGTAGTGAAAAAAAAGACGAAATAAGTAAAACTCTTTTTGCACAAAGCAATGAGTCCTGTTTGAGCCATTTATTTGATTTCTTTCTGTGTTTATTAAGGTTTGATATAATCCTTCATGCTATCCAAGTTCACTACATGACAAAAGAAGTACATAATGTAGAGGTAAATAAGCAGGATATTCTTTGTGAATACGTTTAATTGGTGATTTGCTACTCAACCAAAAAGAGCTCATAGTGTAATATGATACAGTTTACATATAGGGTGTTATCTATTAAAACAGCTCTTTTTTACAATTTTTTGAAAATTGAGTTTTTATTAGATTCATATAAATTTTGATATGATTGACATTTTTCAATTATAAATGAAAATCGATTTGCATAATAAAAAATCAAGATATTGTAAAAGAAAAATTATACCAGGCTGCGTAGAGCTAACATATTACAAAATTTTCCGATAGTCACCTGTTACCTTTAACCAATCAAAATCATATGGGCGGATTTGACTCCATTCAATATTGTCACAAAATTTGATTTTGTCACTTAAGATGATCAAAAAATATTTTTAACCAATCAAATCGATTAAAAAATTTGATTGGGATATTTTAAAATTTGATATACTCGTACTTATATTTTCAAGTACCTTGTTAGCAATAACCTCTAGAACGGGAATCGTTAAAGTCTTCAATACGGTCTTGAAACTTCAGCACTTGTACAATCTACACCTTATCCTAAACCAAGACAATAGTTAATATTTAGGATACTTAAAAAGTCTCCAGCATCTTTTTAGTTTGCCAATTAATTATTAAGCAAAAAGTATCAAGTAGAAGAGCCACAATGGCTAGTAAATGCCAACTTTGTCAAGAGGTTTTTGCTTCTCGAAAAGATCTTGTTACTCATGAAAGAATTAAGCACCGAAATAATAAAATTATACCTCACCGCAAATCATTTCTTCAACCTCCTCTTGAGCAAATTACTTTTTATCAAGATGCATTTATAGTTCTTATTAAAAAATATCTTGGCTTTAATAGGCATTCAGTAGGCACAAAACAAGTTTCTATTAACGCCTTTCCT